TATATATGCTACAGTGCTATGCTACATCACATATATGTAGTTTTTTCACGTAGGTTTACATTACCAAAGGTTCATGACAAAATCACTTGACACTGACTCCAATGTGTGCATGATGAGAGAGGATAGGGAGAGACGCTGTGCTGCTGTCAGAGGAGCCGCCGAATGAGTTCCCTCTGAGTGGTAAGTCGCTATGAAAGTCTGAGAAGTTCAGAGCTGTTCATGAAACATTCAGGAAACCACAGTTTATTCTACACTACTGAAGCTGTCCCTCTTTATGGAACCACCACAGAGTCTGTAATCATTTCTCTTTCAGCCATGATTGATGTTGCTGTGGGTAACAGTATGACGTCAATATGTCGACAAGTTGAAATATTGTGAGTATCATGATATGAATTTTTCATATTATATTAAAAATTATACCAGTACTATCATGAACGATATGATATGGCACACCCCTAATCCACACTGATGCGTAGCCATGACAACATAGGCTACCTGTTTTGCCAGGATTTTAAGAATGGAAGGGAGCGAAGTAAAACTATGAAGTCAGGCGATACTAAGAGGACTTATTGATTAGAACAGCCTTGATAAAAATGTCTATCTCGTGTACAGTGCTCGCCGTTGGCTCTGGCGCACCTCATGACAATGCTTGACAATAGCTTGAAAGCGTATTGTATCTGTGCAAAATTTGTCACCAGGGAGGCGTTTTCACATTCCCTGCAATCAGAAATTTAATTTTACTCCAGACGAACTACATTACGTATGTCTCCAATAGAAAAGCCAATCACTGTCTAATATGGGAAACACATGTGGCCTGGGGAACAGATTTTAGCACAACACTGGCAAATATACCTGAAACCTTTGGTGCTTCGTTCCACTGCCCACCAGACCCCCATTATAGCAGATGTTATTGTATGTTTCACAACCATTAGCACTGTGTAAGCCACTGCCGGTTAGCCAACCAACCAACAAACAACATAAGCAAATAAAAAAAGCCAGCTTAACTTAATGTTCTAATATGT